AGGTTCAGTACCTGATAAACACGGGTCAAAGGTATTGTCACCCCTCCAGCATCAGGCACTGAGTGACTTTGGAACTGTCTGAAGAAGCAATGGCTGATTCTCATCACCTGTAAGGTTGGCAAGCGCTGTATATTTTGCTCCATAAGATCAGAGCTTTGTCCTGGTCGTGGCAATATCCCCAGTCTCTAGTCCAGTGCTGGCACAGAGCTGGATCATAACAAATGTCAGATGAATGAATAAATGAATCATTATGCCTGCTTTGCCAGTGAGGAACTGGAGGTTCTGAGAGGTCAAGTGACTTTCAGATGGTCACACAGCAGCTGGGCTATCTGAGTGGGGATGAAAATCCGCATTTTCTCTCCCTGTCACCCTCCCCCACTCTCCCGCCCTCCCGCCAACACAGACACACAGAGGAACTTGACTGTTACCTTTCAGGCTCAAGCATAAGAATCACGTAGCATCTCGTTTCCGGCAGCAGCCAGGTGTGCATGTGCCCCCGGAGTGGATCAGCTGGGGAAACTAAGTGCTCACATGGGGTGGGGGGAGGTGGAGGTGAAAAAAAGTGACCAAAGCTCTCAGATCCCCCTCCCTCACCTCCAGCAGTTCCCCAAAGGCCGAAAGCTATTCTTGGCTTTTTCTAAAAGAGGCGTTTGAAGCCATGAGCCAATTCTTTCCATTCCTGAGCTTGGGTATCATCTATTTCGGGCGTTTGTTGTTTTTCATGAGTTGCGGATGCCACTGTGAAGCTGGCCTTTCCTGGACAGCTAGGGCACGAGGGAGTGAGGCAGGAGCCAGGCGGGGCCAGCACTTAAAAATACTTCCTGATTCATTTCTCCTTTGAAAACAAAGCCCTGGGGGCTTGTTGCAACCGCTGGAGCCTGGGAACGGAGCTTCCCAGAGCAGAAAACTGACTGAGCGTGCTGGATGTGTTTGTGGGTCCCAGGAGCAAGAGCAACACAGATTTGCTGTGTGACCTCCTTCAAACTCGCTTGACATCTCTGGGCCTGCTGGCCTCCTCTCCAGAATAAGACCAGGTGGAAAGAAGCTCGTGAATGGTCCCTCCAGCTCTGAGAGCTCCAGGATGAGGACCATCCCTCCCAGGACCAGGTTTTCTTCCTAGATTTGGGCCAGCAAGGGATGCCGAGTCTTGGAGACAGAAGCTAGGAGAAAGCAGCTTTTAGGTCAATCTCTGGGACTCCTTTGTAAGTTACAGAGCCCTGCAGATGTTCTAAGGGGGTCCAGAATGTTCTTGGAAGGTTCCTGTAATTGCAAAAAAGACCAAGCACCATGAAGAAGTGATGAAATAAAGACTGCTGTATGTCCATACCAGATGTGCGGTCTAGAAGCTACGAGAGAGAAACAGATCTGTGTTCTAACAAAGAGGGTTCTCCAAGACGTATTGTTGGACAAAAAAATCAAGTTGCAGAATAGAACAGTTAGAATGGAATCACTTTTTAAAAGCACACATAAATTTACATGTTTTTCTACACCATGTGTTTTATGAAAATACACAGGGAAAGTTCCAGAAGAGTTTACCCAGTCTGTGCTCAGATGCTCAGTTGTGTCTGACTCTTTGCAGCCCCATGGACTATAGCCGACAGGCTCCTCTGTCCATGGGATTCTCCAGGCAAGAATACTGGAGTGGGTTGCCATGCCCTTGTCCAGGGATCTTCCCAACCCAGGGATCAAACCCACGTCTCTTTTCTCCTGCATTGGCAGGCACGTTCTTTACCTCTAGTGCCACCTGGGAAGCCCACCCAATGTGATAAGAGCCCTTATCTCTAGGTTGGGGAGGGAACTGAATTCGGAATGGTGTCAGAGAGAACTGATTTATTTGTAATGTCTTTATGGGAAGAATGCATTCGTGGTTTGTTTTTGTTTTTTTTTTTAATTAATCTATTTGAGACATCAGGACATGGAGGGCCCAGGCGACTTCTCTCAGGCCATCATGGGCTGGATCCGATGGTTAGATAATGCAGGAGGAGGGTAGCTGTGGGTAGGAGATGAAGGTATATTAGATAGTGGCTTGACCAATAGGCATGTTTATGATTTTAGGGAAGCAAATGGAGATGTCATTCCTCTGCAAGATTTATTGGCTGTTGTAAATTACTTTCTATTGCAAACAGTTGCCTCAGGAGGCAATTTAATTTAGATCATATTGTTCCCAGGTTGACACAGGCAGGTGTCGACTTGCTGAGGCTTTGCACAACAGCCACTGTCTGTAAGAGTGTGCTCGACTGCCTGGGATGGCCAGAATAACTCTATCCTGTGTGGGATGATCTGCTGCTTTGTCAGGCAATGAGTCTATTCAGCCTGGGAGGGTGGGGTTGGCCTAGACTGGGATGCTGAGGGTAGTGCCTAGGCCTTTATCCCAAACCTTGGGCAAACAATCCTAATAGGATGGCAGTTCAGTGGTTGAGACTCAGAGCTTTCACTGCCAAGGGCAAGGGTCGATCCCTGGTATGGGAGCTAAGATCCTGCAAGCTGTGGCTCCCCCCACTGAAAAAAAGAATGGACAAAGCTTTTCTACCATAGCATCTGCCAACACAGCCTCAGGTCTCCTGGAGGGCTTATAAACTGGGAAGTGTGGGGTCACTATTATAATCACCATCATAATGATTGTTAGAGGCAGTTACTATTGTTGACCATGTGTCTGTTACCAAATCTACAGGCACAGACTTTTATAAAATGACCCATTACGAGGTAGACAAGGAAGCCCACGTGTTGTTCACTCTGGACTGAGCCTGGAGAGTTCTTCCATCCCAGAGCCAAAGGATAAGGGCCAGAGTTTCAGGGTCACCAAACTACAACCCCAGTCCACTTGTTTAGGGTGCTGGCTGGGTGATGAGTGCAAACAGGGTTGGTAAATGCACAGGCCCAGGCGTTCCTTAACCAGCTGTGTTTCCAGTTGGTGCTCTGTCATGGATTCCAGGCCTCACTGCCAGCTATCACTGGACACCTCACTGGCCCACCACGTCCTCACCAGCGCTCAAGTCTTTCCCTGGACACTTTCTCCTTCTCAGGCTGTGTTCCCCGATTCAGTTAACCGCACTGCCAAGAAACGCTGAGGGGAATGACTGAGGGGGCCTGTACTAGAGCTCAGATGCTCAGCTCCACCATTTACCAGCTGTCTTACTTGAGCTAATCAATCCTCTGGAGCCTCAGTTTTATCGTATAAAATTAGGAAATTCATAGCGCTGTTTGTATTAAAACTATTCAACAATTTGTGGTTGCCTACTCTGTGTTAAGACAAGGGTTCAAGTCCATATGTGAGACCTTGGCTCTTTTTTTCAAATTGCGGGAAAATATGCATTACATGAAATTTACCATTTTAACCATTTTTAAGTATACAGTTCAGGGACGTGAAATACATCCACATTTTTGCGCAACCATCACCACCATTCATCTTCTGAAATTTTTCATCTTGCAAAACTGAAAATCTGTACTTATTAAATGTGTGTGTGTGTTAGTCACTCAGTCACGTCCCACTCTTTGCAATCCCATGGACTGTAGTCTGCCAGGCTCCTCTGTCCATGGAATTCTCCAGGCGGGAATACTGGAGTGGGTTGCCAATCCTTTCTCCAGGTTATCTTCCCGACCCAGGGATCGAACCCAAGTCTCCTGCTTTGGAGGCAGATTCTTTACTATCTGTGCCACTAGGGAAGCCTTATTAAATACTAGCTCCTATCCCACCCCTTGGCAACCATAATTCTATACTATTCGTTCCATGAATCTGACTCTAAGTACTTTATATACGTGGAATCATACAGTATTTGTAGCTTGTGTCTGGTTTATTTTATTTTACTTAGCATAATGTCTTCAAGGTTCACCCATGTTGTGGCACACGTGAGAATTTCCTTCCTTTTTCAGACTGAGTGATAGTCCCGAGTACGTACATACCAGTTCCGGGCTCCTTGAGGGCTCAGTTGGTAAAGAATCCGCCTGCAATGCAGGAGATGAAGGAGACACAGGTTTGATCCCTGGGTCGGCAGGATCCCCTGGAGGAAGAAATGACAACCTACTCCAGTATTCGTGCCTGAAAAATCCCATGGACAGAGGAGCCTGGGTGGGCCATGGTTCAAAAGGTGGCAAAGACTTGGGCCCGACTGCGCACACACCACAGTTTGCCCATCTATCCATCAATGGGCACTGGATTGCTCCCACTTTGTGGCTGCTGTGAACAATGCTTCCAGACCTTGAACTCCCAAACCCAAGAGAAAGCCCAAGTTTTCTTTTCTGTGAGGTGAATATGGCTGAGTTACTTCTCCCTCTGGCAGGAGCCCAGCCGCACTGGCTCAGCATCTCCTAAGGCACCTACTCCACTCAAAAACTCATCTCCCCAAGCAGGGATCATGCCCCCTCTTTCCGCTGCTCACCTTGTAGCTGCCCTCTGTCTTTGAGACATAGGTGGACACGGGCCCCCGTCAGCAGGTTTCCTGCCCCAGGCATTTCTGGGCCCCTACAGAGCTTTGGCCAAGGACTTGTTACTTTGGAAGGGGTCCTTGTTTAGCTATCATCAACCATCCCTACTTCTGAGTTGGGATGGAAGGGAGATGGGAGATGTCTTCCACCCAGTTCAAGTCAAAGCAGGAAGCGCTTTGCTACCCCACCCAGACCCCAGTGCCCTGCTTAAGACCAAAGAGGAAATTTCCAAGACTCGAGTTTTGCCTCCAGAGGCGCAAGGCAGCCGTGACTCCTGGGCGTCCTGCCTCAGTCCCCCCGGGTGTGGAGCCCAGCTCCCCAACGTCTGAGCCTGGGGAGGGGGAGAACACACTACAGCTCCCAGGGTTCTGCGGGCTGAGGAGGCGGTCCCCACCACTGGCGGAAGAGTTGGACCCACCAACCGGAGCCCAGAGCGGGGCTGGGGGCGGGCGGGGGCGGGGCCGGGTGGGAGGTGGCCGGCGAGCGGCGCCCCTGGGTCAGTCGCGCGGGGAGCGCGGGGTCCGGAGAGAGGAACGCGAGGAGGGTGCTGTGGTGGCGCCGCGCGCGCTCTCCGGGCCATGGGTAAGTGGCTCTGCGGTGCGCCCGGGACGGGACGGGCGGCCCCGCGGGAGGGCGATGCTGTGGCCCCAGGTCTTTCCCGGCGCTCGCGGCGGTCGGTGCTACCTTGGGGGGCGAGCGGGGGCTGGGGGTGGACTCGGGGGCGAGAGCGCGGGGAGCTAGTCTGGCCCGGGACGCCCGCGTCCTCCCGCCGCGAGCCGGGGCCAAAGCCTAGTGTCGGGCGCGCGCTGTTCGAAAAAAGGAAAGACAAAAAGTTTTGGCGGCCAAGGGGCTTCCCGGGCGTTTATCTCGAAACTCTCTTCGTCGTCTCTTGACTGAAATTTACCAAGTCCTGTACGGTTCTGTCATCCCACTTCCTGCTGTGGTTTTCAATCTCGAGCTGGTCTCAGCTAATTTGTTGTGACAGCTGTCCGCAGCAGTTCTGTCTGCAGTACCCCCCGCCCCCCACCTTCCCCTCTCCCCTCCCCGCCGTCACATCCCGGCGGTTCTCAGAATCCGCCGGCGCCGCCGAGAAGGGGCACCGGGGTCCGCTGGGCGCGCGGGGCGCTTTCCACTGCGGCTGCCGTTTCCTGAAAGTGACTCTGCGCGGGTTTTGAAGAACTTGCTCAATGCATTTTGAAGAATCAACTGTTCCTCTTTAAGCCGAGAGTCGTGCTGATCCTTCGGCGGTTACCGGCTTCTCGCCCCCTACCCTTTCTCTTTCCTCTTCCCTTTTTTCTTTTTTCTGTAGTCTCTCCTCTTCTTGTCTCCTGTCCACCCTCCTCTGTACCCTCCCACTCCCAACCCCCGGCAGGGAAGAAGCAACTCCTTCTTTGCTCCGCTCATCTTTCTCCTGTGTCTCTTTTCTCCCTTTGGGGCTCCAGAAGGGACAGCGTGGCGGACCCGCTAGTCATGGGGGGCGGGGAGGGGGTGGAAAGTGGAGACGCACGGGCTGCGAGGAGAGAAGCGCTCAGTCCGAATCGCGGACCAAACCCGGCTGCCTCGTCTCGGTCCCTGCGCAGAGTGTTCAGGGGGCGCGGCCTCAGGCCCTCCAGCCGGACGGACGCTGGGAATAGGAGAGATCGCCCGATGCCGGACCCCCAAGGGCTCAGGGTGCGGGCCTGGAGGCACCGTACTGGCCAGACCCAGGGGTCCCTTTCTTTGCGGGCTCATCAGCTAGCCAAGAGGAGTCCGCGGAACTGAAGGGAGGATAACAGGTGCTTTTTGCCCCAGCTGGAGCACGAGAGTTGGGGGTGTGGGGTCTCTGTGCCCAGAGGCCGTGCTAGGGCAGAGACGGCAGCTAGCGGGTTGGGTCACCCGGGTGGAGTTCCAGAGCCTGTCCAAGCCCTGGGGACCCTTCTGGACCTTGAACTTGGAATGGCAGTGGTAGAAAGGACCTCAGAGAATCAGCCTCTCTCTCCGAGGGGCTTACCGTCTGAGAAACTGAGGCTTAGAGACCAGCCCTGGTCTGACAGTGAGGACAGTCCAGGCCTCTGAGACCCTGCCCCTCTCTCCCTTCCCAATGGGCTCCTGTTCCCAGGTGGGAGATCGACCTGGGATGGCCCGCACCCGCCTTGGACCTTGCTTTACCGGCTGGGCTTCAAGAGCCACTCTGGGAAAGGTCTAGTAGGGGACCGAGAAGGAAGCCCCAGGCAGAACTCAGGCAGCCTTCCCGCGTCCTGGCTGTGCTCTAGTGTTGGCCCACGTCTCGGAGAAGCCGCCACCAGCCCAGTTTGCTGGGGACACAGGAAGCAGTACGGAGATGGAGCTGTTCCTTTTATCACCAGATACCACCCAGACTTGCAGGGGCAAGACAGTGGGGACTCAGCCCCACCCTGGATCAGGGTCTTTCAGGACCACCAGACCCCAGGGGGCTGGGAGTTGGTCGTTCCACATTCGTGCCCCCACACCCCTCCTTTCCACACTCAAGGCCGTCACCTTGGCCCCAGCTGCTCCCCCACCCTGGCCCCTCTTCCCTCCCCTGAGACACGGAGGCAGGGCCGGGTGGGTAGCTGCACAGGTCAGGTTGTCCGTCTGTCCTCCATGCAGGTTGGAGCACAGCCCTTGGCAGGTCCCCCCCTCCCCAAACCACTGCTCCGCCAGGCAGCCGGCTCCCGGCTCCGAGCTGAGTGAACTGGCCGCTTCAAAGGTTGTCTTTGTTTCAGCTCCAGCTCTAGCCAAAGAGCAACTTAAGCCAACAACCTCAGGCAAGAAGGTGTGGCATGTCTGCTGGTTGTTACTGAGGCCTCTGTTACCATTATTGTCGTAATTGACACGGTGCTCCCAGTGGGTGACTTTTCATGAAAGGAAGTGTCGCTTCCTTTCCATCACAGCGAGAGTGAAAGAGGCGGGGCAGGAGGGGGGGCAGGGAGAGAGTGAGAGAGAGAGGCCTTGAGCTAGTCACAGCCCAGCTCCTCTGTCAGGTCGTGTTTATGAAGCAGCTGCTCCCTGCGGTGCAGAACTCTAGGCACTGAGACATAGCGGAGTGACAGACCTCAGATCTCACACACACGCATACACACAAGCACCCACACCCACGCACACACCCACTCACGCGCGCACACACACACCCATATACACACGTGTGCGCACACACCCACGCACACACACCCACTCATGCGCGCACACACCCACACCCATATACACACGTGTGCGCACACACCACGCACCCACACCCATGCATACACCCACGCACACACACCCACTCACGCGTGCACACACACACCGAGACACATACCCATATACACATGTGTGCGCACACACCCACTCACGCGCACACACACGCACACATACCCATACACACACGTGCGTGTGCATACCACACACCCACCCACTCATGTGCGTGCACACACCCCCGCACACACGCACACACACATGCACCCACACCCACGCATACACCCATGCATATACACCCACTCACGTGCACACACACATGCACACATACCCCCCCACGCGCGCGCGCACACCCACGCATGCACACACCCACATGCACACCCACACATGCAACACACCCACGTGCACACACCCACACGCACACACACATGCACAAACATGGCCACCTGTGGTTTTTTGGCGGGGAGCCTTATTTCTCACTTCATTCTGCTTAGAGCGTTGGGCCCATTGGGTGGGAGAAGGAAGTACAGAAACACCTGTGTGGGGTCAGAGCCCCCTCCCCACCCTCGTCTGCTTTCAGCTTCTCTGGGAGGACAGGCCCAGGTTTTTATCAGCAGGTTAACAGGGATGCTGCAATGTGACACTGCAGGTCCCCTGGGGAGAGACGGCCAGTTTGCACCCTCTGAGCACAGAGAAGGAACCTGGGGTCTCACTTTATTGTTGTTTAGTCGCTAAGTTGTGTCCGACTCTTTGTGACCTCATGGACTGTAGCCTGCCAGGCTCCTTTTTCCATGGGATTTCCCAGGCAAGTATACTGGAGTAGCTTGCCATTTCCTTCTCTGGGGGATCTTCCCCACCCAGGGATCAAACCTTCATTTCCAGCATTGGAAGGTAGATTCTTCACCACTGAGCCACCAGGGAAGCCCTGGGGTTTCCCTTCTCCCATTAACCCACTCTTGACCTTGGAGTCTGTGTCTTGAGACAGGGAGACTGCACTGGTTGCAAATCTCAGCTTTGCCACTAGTAAGCCATGTGACCTCAGGTGAGCTACTGAACCTCTCAGATCCTCAGATCTTGTACTATCTGTTAATGGGGGCAGAGAGATAATCATACCCACTGGGCGCTGGGAAGATGTAGTGAGCCAGTGTTCAGAAGTGCCCAGACCCAGGCCTAGGGGAGGCTGGTTTCTGTTGGTGAAGTGCACAGTGTGGGGAGGGAGGCGTGGCTTGAGAGCAGGCTGGCTTCGTTTCAGGAGCCTCCTCCTCCACAGCTAGTGACTGAAGTTAACCTCTTCACTGCCTCGGCTTTAGGATCGAGGGTCGAGTGTGACTTCCACAGAGCTGTGGAGTTGAGCAGACTGCTGTCACAGGCAGGGCTGCTGCCCCGCTCCCTCGCTGCCCGTGAAGGGGCTGGATCGCCCGGCCACCCCCGCTCGCTGGCCAAGAGGGGGTCACACGGCCAGGGCTGCGAGCCAAGTCCTGCTGCCATTGTTTGTCAGGCCTCTCCTCACTCAGTTATCTCTCTGCATGACAACCGGGAGTAAGCCAACAGGGGCCACAGCGCCCTCGAGTAGGAGGGGCCCCTGAGCCATGCAGAGGAGACCGCAACCTGTGGAGACACTGCTCCTGCAGAGGAGGGTGCACATCAGACAGGCGCCACCACTTTCAGAGTAATTTCTAAGTTTAAGTGCAATTCAGTCAAAACCCCAGTGGCTTTTGTTTCTTCTTCATCCTTTCCCTCTCTCTCTCTTTCATCCTGGAATGTGACAGAATTATCCTAGAGTTCAGATGGAATTTTTTAAGAGGAGTAATGATGGGGGACTTGAGCTCTGGATAGTAAGTTTTGTTACAACGCGACAGAAATTAAAACTGTGCATGGGTCCAACATTCCACAAAGAATGAAAGAGAACAGAAAGTCCAAAACCAGTCCCCAGAATGTTCCTTACAAACCTTTAGATTGTGGGGAAAGTAGTATTTCAAACTATGCGGGGAGGAGATCACTCAGTCTATGCTGGGGTCTGGGGAGCTGGGCAGGCAGGAGGACTCACCTGGCCCCATGGGAGGGGGTTTCAGACTTATTTCTCAAGGCAGAACTCTTTTTCCAAATGAAGATTTAGCGGGAACTACGATCTTGCAATGACTGGAGAAGAGAGGGAGAGGACAGGCTGGGGAAGGAGGGTGAAGACTCTCCCCACCCACCTCATCCAGGGCTGCAGCCCAGGTGGGCGAGAATGGAGGCCGGTTCACCCAGCCGCACACACACAGAGAGTGTCTTCTCTTTGTGGCTCTCATCCCCGTCCCTGCTGGGCTGAAACAGCTCAGATGGTGACCTCCTTCCCAGGTGACCCGAGTGCCCAAGTCCTGGAGATTTCCCTAGGAGAGCGTGGCCCCTGCAACCTAGCAGGAGCGACCAGGGCCATTCTATCCCGGTGGCCCTTAACCTGGCTGCCCTCTCAGGCACCCTGGGAATTTTTAAACCCTGAAGCCCCTTGTTGTTTAGGCGCTAAGTCCTGTCTGATTCTTTCGCAACCCCATGGACTGTAGCCTGCCAGGCTCCTGTGTCCATGGGATTTCCCAGGCTAGAATACTGGAGTGGGGTGCCATTCCCTTCTCCAGGGGATCTTCCTGACCCACGGATGGAGCCCATGTCTCCTATACTGGCAGGCAGATTCTTTACTGTGGAGCCACCCGGAAAACCCCTGGCGCCCCCTGCAGGACCTTAAGTCAGACTCGTGTTGGGGGAGACAGGCACCATGTCTTTTAAATTCTCCCTGGGTGAGTCCAGTGGGCCCTGGTCCCACCACCTTCTTCCCTGAGGCCCGAGGACAGCCTTGTAGCCGACCTGCGGGACGGTGCCAGGGAGAATCCTCGTCACAGGAACAGACGGACAGAGTCTTTCGGAGGCGAGCATTTTCCCTTCAGGAAAGAAGGGAGAGGGGATGTGAAAGCAGAGCAGAGAAGGCAGGAAGGGGAAGGAGAAAAGCTGTGGGGACGCAGGCGTGCCGATTAGCTGAGGGCTTCAGGATTCACGGACAGTTAGCAAAGGATATCAGTGTCTTTCTGCCCCCCACCCCGCCCCAGTTCACAGAAGGAAAGATGGAGGTGCAGAGCTGCCCAAGGGCCCGGTTGGAAAGGCATCCGTCAGGGGTGGGAGGGGTCAGTTATTAGTACCCAGTGATTTCTGGAGATTGGCTGTGTCTCCGGTGATCAGAAGCCAGCCTGCAAGGATGGCCCAGGCCCAATTAGCATGAGGCTCAGTTTCTCTTCCAGGCTTATTCGGACTCCCCAGCAAAACTTGTGAATGTTGGTGCTGAGCACCACAGCTGTAGTGGGGGCAAGGCCAGGCCCCTGGGCGGGTGGTCGGACAGACCTTGTCTTGAGTGTGGTCCCCCAGGGAGGCAGGCCACTTACTCTCTCTTTAAAACGGGGCTCCTCTGGGACTCAGTGAGAGAACAGATACATGAAAGGGCCAGGGACACAGAGCCGAGAACCCGCGTGGCACTTCTGTGAACAGCCGCCCAAGGGGACACTGTCCAGCAGCCAGAGGGCTACCGCTCAGGCTCCTGGGTACCGCTGGCCTCGTGGGCCACTCTGTTGTGGGTTTCTTCTTTTTTTTTTTTAATTTTTGGCTGTGCTGAGTGTCACTGCACAGGCTCTTTCTCTAGTTGCAGTGAGCAGGGGCTGCCTCTGGTTGTGGAGTGCACGCTTCTCTCTGTGGTGGCTTCTCCTGTTGACGAGCAGGCTCTTGGCTGGAGGGCTTCAGTCATTGTGGCCCCCCGGCTCTAGAGCGCAGCCTCAGTAGTTGTGGCTCGCAGGCTTAGTTGCTCCACAGCATGTGGGATCTTCTCGGACCAGGGATTGAACCCTTATCTCCCACATAGGCAGGTGGATTCTTTACCACTGAGTCCCCAGGGAAGCCCAGATTTCTTGTTCTTAAAAAGTTTCTTTTCTACCTGGGATGGAGGGGGAATCTTGCAGGTTCCCAGAAGTAAGGCTTTTTCTGAGCTGCAGTGAACCAGGACACTTCATGCAACATGAACAAAAAAGAGAAAAGAAAGGCTGGGTTCACATGGCCAATCACCCACTGCGTGGCCAGAGCAGCTCGCGGTGGCTGTGTCTTTGCAGCCATCAACTCTCAGGATGCCCTTAGGAGAATCGAGCTCCTGGCTCCTCCCTGCCCTCCATCAGGTTGTTGTGGGACTCACCCATCTTCTCCTCCAAAATGGGACTTCCCTAACACCTCAGACAGTAAAGAATCCACCTGCAGTGCAGGAGAGCTGGGTTCGATCCCTGGGTCGGGAAGATCTCCTGGAGGAGGGAATGGCCACCTGCTCCAGTATTTTTGCCTGGAATATCCCATGCACAGAGGAGACATTTTCCCTTACCTACCACCTGCTGTGGGGGCAGGGGGTGCTGGGTGGCCTCACTGAACTGTCAGGAGGCCAGACAAGCCATGGGCATCTCAGTCCAAATGGCCCCATCCGTATGGTATGAGGAGGTGAGGATGACTAGAGAGAAGTGCTGTGCTTGGCTGAGGGCTGGGAAGGCCCCCCACTACCTGCTTGGGGCTTGTCAGTTGAGACCTGAAGGGTCACCAGGAGCCATGAAGGTGAGGGGAGTATGTGGCCTAATTAGAGGCAGTTAGGACTCTGCTGCAAACACGACTGAGCGACTTCCCTTTCACTTTTCACTCTCATGCATTGGAGAAGGAAATGGCAACCCACTCTAGTGTTCTTGCCTGGAGAATCCCAGGGACGGGGGAGCCTAGTAGGCTTCTGTCTATGGGGTCGCGCAGAGTCGGACATGACTGAAGTGACTTAGCAGCAGCAGAGCAGCAGGACTCTGCTGAGCTTCCCAGGTGGCGCTAGTGGTAAAGAGTCTGCCTCCCAATGCAGGAGATGCCAGAGATGTGAGTTTGATCCCTGGGTCAGGAAGGTCCCCTCGAGGAGAGAATGGCAACCCACTCCAGTATTCTCGCCTGGAGAATCGCATGGACGGAGGAGTCTGGTAGGCTACAGTCTCTGGAGTTGCAAACAAATCAGACATGACTGAGCATGCATGGGAACACAAGGGATGCCTAAGAAAAGCTTGGATGCTTCATAAACGGGAACTTTCTTCTTGGCTATTCATGGAGGGTCTACGGTCCCAGCAGCCCCGCCACCCTCCTGCCACCCACTCCTCTGCCAGCATCTCATGTTCTCACCCTCCCCTGCCCTTCTCCCCTTCTCCTCTAGCACCTCCAGTCAAAGGCAAAAGGAAGCAGTCAGAGGAAGGGGAGCCCCCAGACCCACCAGTGTCCCCTCAGCCCGACGGTGAGCCGAGCAGGAGCCAGAGCCCCGTGCACCTGGAGGTGAGCTGGGTGACCCTCCCCCACTGGGCCCCTTCCTCACCCTGCTCCGCTTGTGTGCAGCTTCCCAGGTGGCCTCGGAGACTGCCTGCAGTGTGTTCCCTAACCCCCCTAGCCCTGCAAGAGTCCAGAGAGGGGCACAGCCCCACTATCTGGGGCCTTGGGCTGGGCGCTGGGCAGATGGGAGGGCTTTCCCATCGCCTCTGGCTGGATGTTCAGGTTTGGTTTTTACAGCAGAACCCTTTTATTACATGAGGATGACCTGGAGTCCTGATCTATAAAACAGTAAAGCACTGCTCTACGATGTTGAGCTACACATGCACCCTTCTGTCCCTCCAAACGTATAACACGGACGCTGAAGTCACGTAGTGAGGTCAGTGCTGCGCTGACCAGCACGGTCGTGGCCGTCAGCCTCTGCATTAGTTGTCTTTGGCCATTTGCTTTGGAGGCACAGGCTGGAGGGAGCTGCACATGGGAACAGGTTTTAACAGATTTCCTGGAGTTCAAAGAAGAGGAACAGAAAAGCATGTTCATTTGAAGAGCTGTGGTCAGAGTGCCTCCGTTCTGAGGCGCGGCAGTGTGTTCCAATTTCATAGGTGACGTGCAAGCTGGCTTGTTTATTTCCAGAGGTCTTTGATTAGTCAAAACCACGGTCATAATACTCGAATAGAGTATTTTTGGAACACATGGCTCTCTGCACGATTCTCACCCTGATGATGGTTGCCAGCCCTCTTGTGTTTGGGGCCACCCAGGCCGGGACCCCAACCCCAGCCCCACAGGAGCCCCTGCCCTGAGCCACCAGCCACAGGAAGGGCATCGGGAGAAATCCCCACTGGGAGCAGAAGCCAAAAGACCTGTGCATTGGACACAACAGCCCTCTGGAGCCCAGGACAGGGTCTCTCCGCCCCGAGCTGAGCACATGGACAGGCGGGTCACAGAAGCAAGCCTGGCCGAACGGCCCCACATAGCTGGAACGCACCATCCTTTGGCTTGGACCACAGGAGCCACTGGGAACCCTGGGGCCATGAAGACTGCCTCCAGGCTGGTAGAGGAGCTGAGTTGGAGATGTGACAACCTAGAGCCAGGTGAAGAAGCCACTGGAAGCTTGAAGGGGCAGGGCTGCTCCCGTGGCTGTTCCTGGAGCCAGGCCTCTGTGGACCTTGACCTGGGGTCCTGGGCTAACATGAAACACCTCTGTCTTTCTGACCCCAGGAACAACATCTGCAGCCCAGAGTTGGGTCTGGGGGTCTACTCCCTCCTCTGGGAGCCTGGGGTTGGTGGCCATGCATCTCCTTCCTCCCCAGCAGCCAGTGGTTCCGCCTCTCCACAGCCTCCTGCCAACTGGGGGCTCATCCCACTGCCTCGTGTTCTTTCCCCAGGAGCCCCCCGAGGCAGGCAGGGAGCGGGAGGAGGAGCAGGAGGAGGAGCAGGCCTTCCTGGTCAGCCTCTACAAGTTCATGAAGGAGCGACGCACGCCCATCGAGAGGGTGCCCCATCTCGGCTTCAAGCAGAGTGCGTGCCCGGGGTGCAGGCACGGGAGGGGGGCCCAGCCGGGACCTCCATTCGGGGCGACCCGCCGCTGCCAGCCCACAGGGGTTGCACACAGAAAGGCTGCCCCCCTCCAGGCACTGGCCTGGCAGTGGGTGGGGCCAGATGTCCGTCCTCACAGGCCACTGGGCCCCCAGCACACAGGGTGCGGTCTTGCCCAGCCATCCCCGTGGCCCTGTCTGGGTATGTGCTGGTTCTGTGCCTGCCTGTGGGGCCATGGGGACAGGCTGCAGGCTGCCCGCTCCTCCCACCAAGACTGACAGCGGCCCCTCCCTCTCTTGTCCCCAGTTAACCTGTGGAAGATCTACAAGGCCGTGGAGAAGCTAGGGGCCTATGAACTGGTAAGGACGGCTCCTCTGAGTCCTCACCCTGCTGTGTCCCCTGGCACAGCTCAGCTGTGCCCCCGGGGAGCTCAGGAAAAGAGGGAGCCCAGCAGACCTGCCCTTTCCCCACGGCACGAGGACGAAGCGGTGTCCAAACCCTCCCTTTCCCCAGCCCCCTGTGTGCCACGGGGAGGAGGGACCTGCCCTACCCGCCAGTACTTTGCTGTTCCAAGCAAGACTGTCGCCCTTTCCATCTGTTCCGTCCTCGCACTCACAAAGGGCCAGTGCTCGGGCAGCCCCTGGGAGGGGCACTTGGCTGGCTGCTGGCCAGGGGAGCCCCCTCCAACCCCCCGCCCCTGCTGGTGGAGAGGCAATCACAAAACGGCCTCCGAGTGGGGCGCCCGAGCTGCCAGGGCCCGCAGGCAGGGGCGCCCGGCAGCCGTGCCCTGACGTGGCGCCCTTGCAGGTGACGGGCCGCCGCCTCTGGAAGAACGTGTACGACGAGCTGGGGGGCAGCCCGGGCAGCACCAGCGCGGCCACGTGCACGCGCCGCCACTACGAGAGGTGCGGGGCGCCCGGGCCTCCACCCAGGGCGGGGCAGCAGCTGCCAGGGGCGGCGGGGCGGGGGCGGGCGCGGGCGTCCGGCCCCGGACAGGACACGGCGCGCAGACCCCGCGGCGGGGCTGTCTGTGTGCCGGTCGGGCAGGGGCGGAGCCGGGGGGCCTAGAGGGTGGGTGCCTCCTGCCAGCCGGCGCCCTGGCGACGTGCCTGGCCCCTCCCCAGGCTGGTCCTCCCGTACGTGCGGCACCTGAAGGGGGAGGATGACAAGCCCCTGCCCCCCTCCAAGCCCAGGAAGCAGTACAAGATGGCCAAGGAGCCTCGGGGGGATGAGGGGGCCCCTGAGAGGCCGAAGAAGGTCAAGGAGGAGAAGCGGGTGGGCCAGGTGAGCTGAGCCCCGCACCGCGCCTCTCACAGCACCCCTACCCGTCCTCGCCGTGGCTGCAGAACTCCCTGCCCGGAACCCCTGGGACACCCCCTCCCCAAGGGCGGCATGGGGCGGGCAAGGGTCAAGTTGGGGGTACACGTGGGGTCTGAGGTCTGAGTCCTAGTCTGCACCCCATTTCACCAGTCCCCATGTCCTGACACCAGGCCGTGTCTGTTCAGACGATGGGACGCCTTTTGACAGTTCTGCACAAAGGTGCTAGAAGGGCTGGCTCCCTCCTGTCACCACGTCCTCAGGTCAGCGTTGCACGGCTCACACCCAGCCCTGAGGCTTGGCCTTTTCTTATTCTAGCTGATGCCCGGAAAGACCAAAACAGATGCCCCTGACCTGGCAAGGCTTCCTAGCCAGGAGACACCCAGGGACGGCATGGAGCAGCGAGGCCCGGCCTCGGGGCCCTCTCTGCCCCTTGTGGGCGCCAGTGGCTGCCCGGAGGCCTACAAACGGCTCCTGTCCAGCTTCTACTGCAGAGGGACACATGGTATCATGTCACCGCTGGCCAAAAAGAAGCTCCTGGCCCAGGTGAGCAAGGCAGAGGCCTTGCGGTGTCAGGAGGAGGGCTGTCGCCACGGGGCAGGTGGGGAGCCCCAGGCGTCCCCAGCTGTCCCGCCCGTGGAGAGTCCCCAGAGCCCAGGAGGGCCGTCCGAGAACTCCAGGCACCGGCTGACACCTCTGGAAGGCAGGCAGGCCTCCAGGGGCGGCCTCTGGGAGGAGGCACGGGGAAGCCCTCGCCCGTCGGCCCCCGTCTTCACCGGCTGCTTCCACGCCTACTCCAGTGAGGTGCTGAAGCCTGTCAGCCAGCATCCCAGGGACCTTTTCCCCAGTCTTAAAGATAGGGTGTTGTTGGGGCCCCCTACCAAGGAGGAGGGGCTGCCAGCCAAAGAGCCCCCGCTGGTGTGGGGCGGGGATGCCAGCCGCCCTTCTGCATTCCACAAGGGCAGCTTCAGAAAGGGCAGCCTCTACCCCAAACCCAAAGCCTGCTGGGTGTCCCCCATGACCAAGGTGCCTGCTGAGAGCCCCGTGCCCCTGCCCACCTTCCCGAGCAGCCCAGGCATGGGCCACAAGCGCAGCCTGGCGGAAGAGGGCTCGGTCCACGGTGGCAAAAAACTGCGGGCAGTGTCTCCCTTTCTTAAGGAGGCGAATGCCCAGGAGTGTGGGACCAAGCCCGGGGGCCCTGACCTGGCCGTCTCCTGCCTGCTGGGCCCCGCCCTCCCGGAGGCCTACAGGGGTACCATGCTGCGCTGCCCACTGAACTTCACTGGCACCCTGGGCCCCTTAAAGAGCCAGGCCACCCTTCCCTTCAGCCCCCTGGTCATCCCCGCCTTCCCAGCCCACCTGCTGGCTGCCACAGCACCCTCGCCCATGACCGCTGGCCTGATGCACCTCCCACCAGCGTCCTTTGATGGTGCCCTGTGCCACAGACTCTGCCCAGCCTCGTCTCCATGGCACGTGCCACCTGCCACAGCCTACACAGCACCCCACTTCTCTTTCCACCTCAATACCAAGCTGTAGGCCTGAGCCTGCCATGCTGTCTGACCGCCACTGCTGGGAGCTCTGGCCTGGAGCCCCTCCTCAGGAGAGCTTGCCTGTGCCTGATAGGGACGGGCCCTGGGCTGGGAAGCCTGGCCCAAAAAGAGGCCCTGGGCAAACTGGGTTTCTTTCTCAAGATGGCAGCCCGAGCCCAGGGGCTGGGGCCTAGTGATGGCATGCCTCGGGCGAAGACATGGAGAGGCGGACAACTGCCAGCCTGGGCCCCAGAGCAGGGATCAGGGTGGGTGAAGGGGAAAAGGCAATAAAACATCAGTGAGAAACAAAAAAAAAAACACCTGTGAGTCCAGGCAGCCCTGAGGTGTGTGGCATGGACTTTGCAGAGCAATGGGGTGGGGGTGTTGTGGGCAGCGCCACCCACAGGGTGACAGAGCCAAGGAGAGGGGCCTGCCCAGCACCCACTCCTGCTTGGGATGCTGTCAGGAGTAAAGAGCAGGGCCAGGGCAAACCCAGCCTCCAGCTCGTACTTCCGCACGCTGTGCCCTTCGTCCTGTGCCTTCAGCCCACTGGGCTGGTTGAGTCTGGGGACAACCAGCTGTTACCCTCCCCATGGTGCAGACTGGAGTCTGACGCTGAGAGGCTGGGACTTGCCCCGGTTCCCCCAGTGGGTACGTGGGGGAGCAGAGCTGCGCACTGGGGCGTGATCCAGCACCTTGAGCTCAACCACATGGATGCGCCGCAGCTGTCAGCAGCGCTCCTGGGGCTGAGGGTGCAAGCAGGACGCTGGAGTCACCTGCCCTGGTGCTGGATGCCAACTTGGGGGGCTGCTGCTGAGTCTTCTTGGTGAGCCCTTCTAGTCACCTGCTACATGTGCGGGGTGGGGGCACAAGTGGTTCCCACCGGGGGCGCCTGGAGGGAAAAGGGGATGAAGGGGATCAGAATCTTCACCTGGGCATCGGCCTTTGGTGCGGCTGCTCCTGGGGCTTGGACCCTGCAGCCTAACGCCCTCCTTACTATGGGCTCTGCCTGGAGAGCAGTGTGCCCTCACCTGTTGCAGGGACGGGTGCCCCGTCAGAGGCATTGCTCCCCTCCCCTCCTCAGGCTGCCTGTTCTTAGAACCTGGGCACAGCCGCCGGCCAAGCTCCATACAGGTTTCTGGAAAGGCAGTGCCACTACTGGCCCGGGGTCCTGACTTCTGGTCTTAGGTGTATCAGCTGATGATGGATTAACAGGCAGGCTCTGCAGGGATTCCCCTGCTCCCTCCTGTGGGGAGATGCCAGCCCAAGTAGCCAAGTAGCGTGATCTCCAGCCCTGAGCTCCTGACCCCTGCAGGCACCCACGTGCTCCCATCTCTGAGCCTATGGGGTCTCCGTGGTTGACAAGGAGCAGGGAGATGACAGAACTCCCGCCACCCTCCCGGCAAGTGCCCTGGGTGCTGGGCTGCAGGTCTTTTAGAGTCAGATCCCCTGGATATGGGCATCTGCTGTGTGCGGGGCCCTGCCTGATGTGGGGCAGGGTCGCTGGGGTCCCCTTCATTTGCAAAGCCACAGCGGCCTTTTCCCGGCACAGAAGTTGGCCGTTGGTCTGGCAACAGGATTTGAACTCGGGATGCACAGAGCTGCGACGCTGGCGCCCTCTGGAGGCTGCGCTGGGAACTACTCTGCACGGGCGTCTTTTGTCCTGAGCTGGTCCTCAGGCGGCTCGCTGCGGCTCTGCTCCAGCATCAGCAAACACTGTAGCCGAATCCGGCCCTGCTTCCTGGAAGACCTCTGTGCCCTGCAGCTCTGGCATGCCACCTTTCTGTGGTTTTTCTCACTCCTCGAGATTCTGAGGGGTGGCAACCTGAACCAGCAGTTGTGAGAAATCCTGCCGCTTGAGACGCCAGGCTGGCAGGGCACCCTGCACGTTTCCTGGCACTGTGGCCCTAGGTGAACTGGTCACCGCACATCATTTTGCTTTTTATACTCGTCCCTTTGTGTTACCTGCCGTGTCCCCTAACAGTCCCTGACTCTGCCTTGGGGACTTACAGGCCTGCACCTGCCTTTGAGGCACAAACTGTTTCAGGGTCATTTTTAGGACCCTGAGTTTTAAAGCCTCTCCAAACCATCTGTGGTGTTTGCACAGTTTCTGGTGGTGAGTGGAAGCAACTCTGGCAGGCATGTCCCTACACTCCTGGCCCTTTTCCTGGTGACAGTCTTTTAAGTACAGGCCATTTGACAAATACTGAATGTCTATTTCCAGTGGATGCCAGACACTGTTCTGGGTATTGGATAGACACCTCAGTGGACAAAACTTTCAAGTTTCTACCCTCGTGGAGCTGACATCTAACCATCTCATCCTCTGCCGCCCCTTTATCCTTTTGCCTTCAATCTTTCCCAGCATCAGGGCGTTTTCCAGTGAGTTGGCTCTTCACATCAGGTGGCCAAAGTATTGGAGCTGCAGCTTCAGCATCAGTCCTTCCGATGAATATTCAGGGTTGATTTCCTTTAGGATGGACTGGTTGGATCTCTGTGCAGTCTAAAGGACTCAAGAGTCTTCTCCAGCACCGCAATTTGAAAGCATCAGTTTTCCGGCACTCAGTCTTCTTTATGGTCCAGACTCTCACATCTATACATGACTACTGGAAAAACCATAACTTTGACTATATGGACCTTTGTTGGCAAAGTGATGTCTACTTTTTAAAACACTGTCTAGGTTTGTCATAGCTTTTCTTCCAAGGAACAAGTATTTCATGTCTGCAGTTACTGTCCACAGTGATTCTGGAGCCCTAGAAAATAAAGTCTGTCGCTGTTTCCACTTTTTCCCCTTCTATTTGCCATGAAGTGATGGGATCGGATGCCATGATCTTAGTTTTTTGAATGATGAGTTTTAAAGCCAGCTTTTTGTTTCCTCTTCCACTCACCCTCATCAAGCAGCTCTTTAGTTCCTCTTCACTTTCTGTCATTAAGAGTGGTATCATCTACATATACCAGGTTGTTGATATTTCTCCTGGCAATCTTGTGGCTGCCCTGAAATCAGCACAGATAGGATGGTAGCAGTTTGGGGCGAGGACTGTTGTCTGCAAGGACTGGGAGGAGGACTTGAGGGTCTGTGGGTGACTGCAGCAAGGACACGGTGGAGAGAGGGTGTCTGTTTTCCTGGTGTGACCTTCAAAAGGGGGAGCAACAGGGTCTGGAAGCAGGGAGGTCTCTCAGCCCACTATGGGTAGAGTAGGAGGGGGCTGCAGGGGAGCGGGCTCTGGGTGGACACAGATGCGGGCTGGCAGTTGGAAGGAAGGAGGTGTTATAAGGGGAGGCTGGGAAGACCCCACAGGTAAGGGAGAGATTTCCATGTAGGCTCAAAACTAGATGCTGCAGATGATGGCCTGAAGATGTGTTTCATTTGACTGACCCATGTGATTTTTTTCTAAATGTTTCTGTAACTAGTTGCCAGCATTTAAAAATCAAGAAATTTTACGTAAAAATGTGGGTACTGGGCTGCTCTTTAAAAATCAGAATTTCTGGACAAGTGGGGGCCACTGCTTGGCGCTTGGTCAGGGTATACCTGCCTATCCACTACAGCCCTACTCGTCCCCAGGCCCGAGGGGCTTGGCCTGTCCGGCCTCCAGGTCTCCCAGGCATTTCCACATTCAGCCCTTCAGCAGCTCAGACACTAGGTGCTCTATTGTTATCAGATCAGCCAGGCCAACTTCCTAAGCAAATGACTCCAGGAATGTACTGCTGGGAAAGAACAAGGTTTCCAGACAGGTGAGCAGGGCAGAAGTGGGTCATGGCAGAGTCACCTGTGCAGGGTACCCTGGCTTCCGGCCACAGGGGCAGGAGGTGGGTTCCCCTGCCCAACTCCTCAGGTATCAGAAGCCTTTGCCCCATCCTGGGCTATGTCTGCACATCTAGGAAACGAGTGCGGTCCCTTCCAGGTTCTGCACTGTGGCCCGGTGTGAGGCCCAGACAGATAGGGTCTAGTGGCTGGAGAAGGGCAGGTACCTTCCTCCTTGCCCACTGAACATACCCCGGTCCCGAGAGGACCATGCTGGCTCCTCTGGGCCCCTGGCCCTTCCTGGAGAACCAATACCACCTGCGACCAGCAAGTGGAGTCCCTGCCCAGCCCTGTCTATGAGGCCGCCTGGGCAGCCAGGGGCCACTGGGGAAGAACAGGGATGGGCACCTCCCTACCTCCACCTGACTGGGGGGGGCCCTTCTTGGCTTGATTCCTACCACTTGCCTGGCCTGGTCACCTCTCCCTTGATGGAGCAGGGGGCAGGGAGGGAAGATCCCCACCCCTGAGACAGACTCCTCCGTGGGTGCAGGGAGGAGGCTCAGCCCTTTACTTGCCAACAACAGAAGCGAATCCCCACTCAGGCAGGAAAGAGCCTGTGCGGCTCACGGGACTGCAGGGAGAGCTCAACAACCAGGGTGTGGGCCCTGCCCGGGGGGAGCTGCAGCTGGCTCCCACTGGCTCCTCGTCCCAACGCTGCATTCAGTATCACACTGGCAGCCTGAACGAGGCCACAGTGAGAGGACCGCACCCTCTGGGAGCTGGTACTCCAGCATTTATTACCCTCCCTCCAGGGGTCTCGAGGCAAGGACAGGACAGACTTCTCAGCAAAAAGCCTGGTTTCACATCCCGTGCTGACGAGGCGCATGGGCCTGCTACCCCACAGGAAGTGGTCTGTCAGGCAGACCAAAACCGTAGCCGCCACACTGGTGACACTGGACGAACAGGCCCCCTGGGCCTCCACTGCCTCATCTATAACATGGAAGTAACTTCTACCTGAGAGTCATGGGCATTTAGGGGAAGTGCTCTGTAAACTGAGGTTCTGGGTGAATGTGAATCATCAGCTCCTTCCCTGCACTTCTGCTTGGCCAGCCTGACCATCGCCTGCCCTGCCCTTTACCACAGGTCTTTTGAAATCCCTGGCGTACTGCCCTCTGGCCTGGCTTCTGACTCAGTCACCCTGACCTTTGCATCCTGTCTGGTCTGGGACAAGGATGGCCAATCGGCTTCATCCCTAGTGCCAGCTCTGATTGGTGGTGGTCTGTCTGCAGCTTTGGGTCGACTCAGTGTGAAGGTGACGTAATGGATTGGTAATGTCTGCCAAGGGCCCGGGAAGGCTTACCTGCCACAGAGCTGCTGTGTATACACATGATGACTAGCTGGTGACCACCTGATGAGGGGCTGTCTCACTTAAACGCAGGTCCCCGAGCTCACTGCCACGTCTCAGCCGCAGGTCCTGTGCGGAGCTGTCTGGTTCTCCTCCCACATGAGCAAGGGTGGTGGGGGAGCAGGGTTTGGGCCTCAGAGCCAAATCCTAGAAACTGGGGCTGGAGATCACTTGCTCACTGGCTACTGAGTTCAATGCCTGGGTAGTAATCAGCAAGGCAGCTTCTGGGGAGAAATCTAGGCAGGCTGCCTACAACCCTGGGGGAAAAAAGGTCTACATGGGCTGTGTGAAGGATTATCTATAATCAGCATCGAGAATAGGGGGCTTCCCTGGTGGCTCAGTGGTAAAGAACCTGCCTGCCAGTGCAGGAGACAGGGGTTCGATCCCCGATCAGGGGAGATCCTACCAGCTGCAGAGCAACTAAGCCCAGGTGCCACAACTACCGAGCCTGTGCCCTGGAGCCCAGGAACCGCAACCACTGAAGCCCAGTGCTCCGCAGCAAGGGACGCCACCACAGCGAGAGGCCGCTGCTCTGCAACTGGAGAGTAGGCCCTGCTCGCTGCAACTGGAGAAGTCCAGATGTAGCCATGAAGACCCAGCACAGCCAGAAATGAACAAAACTTAAAAACACCAAGAGTGGAGTGGAGCAACTGCAGCGTCACTTGTAGAGTAGCTGCAATGCATTT